CGCGGACCTTGGACTCGCAGACGGCCCTCACGTTTCTGGACACGACCCCGGCCGAGTTCTGCATGCGGGTGCGGCTGGAGGAGACGGGGGAGTTCTTCCGCATCGCCAACTGCCGCAGCGACATGACGGTTCGGGAGCTCAAGGAGGAGCTGGACCTCATGGCGGGCGTCCCCTTCAACATGCAGTGCCTGCACTATCTGGACCAAGGTGGCCGCCGCCCCGCCCGCCCGCCGCGCGCTCCTGGGACCCTGCCCCCGGGACCCCTGGGGACCCTGGGCCCCAGGACCCAGCACCACATGTCCCGGGACCCTGTCCCAGCGCGGGGCCCAGATCTCAAAACTATAGCAGATCGTTCCAGAAGCCCAGACCCCTCTCCCCACGTGCCTCAAGCCTTCATGTCCCCATCCCAGAGCCAAGCGTGTCCACACAATGCTGAACTTGGGGTGACGCCTGTCCTTAGCAGGACCTCCCTGAACCAAAGAACCCCACACTCAAAGCTGCTGGTGCCCTAGTCAGAAATTCTACTAAACCAGAACATACCTGCCCGAAACTGGACCCCAGACCTCCAGGCCAAACCCTCAAACATCCACTGTATCCACACCAAGATGCTAAATCAGCCCATTCCAGAGCCCCCAAACCCAGAACAAACCAACTCAACACCCCTAAGTTTTTATGTGACCACCCAAGAGGCAAAAAAAAAGCGCACTGTAGGACCCCACCAAAAAAAAAACAACACAACACAAACACAGCCAATGTGGCCAAATTTGAATTCCAAGCCCCTAGGTTCTGACAACCTCAGAAGGCTGACCCCTCCCCAGCGGTGATGTCCACACTGAGCTCAAGGCTGAACAAACCTGCACCATCCTAAAAAATCATAGACCTAATCCCCAGTGACCACCACTGAGAACCCAGCTCCTCCAGCCACATTGTTCCCAAAAGATGCCAAAGAATAAAACCTGCTGCCCACCTCGGGACCAGCAAACGGAAGCCAAGCCCAGCCTAAGAGCTCAGTCAGGATTCAAAATGAGCCTTGCTGGCAGCTGGGCCCCCAAACTCACAGCAAACTGTATTTGAAACCCAGATTCTTTAGTTAAACCTGCCCACCAGAACCCAACATTCTAAACCAAACCCCACCTATGTCAGGGTCCCAAATCTTGAAGTAGACCCTATCAGCCTCAGGACTCCCAAATCTCAGGGTAGACTGGCCTGAGTCCTGCCTGCCCCCCTCCCCTTCCTCCCAGGGCTCCATTAGAACTGCAGTTCCGCAAACACAGCCTGCACATACAAGGGCTTCCAGTCCCAGAACAGAACAGACCCTCCCTAAAGCCAGGACCCCTAAACGGACAGACCTGGCTCTCACCAGTAAATTCTGCCCTTACCAGGGACCTCCAAGAAAACCCTGTTCACCTTTGTCCCCCTCCCTGAATACTGGCACTAACCCAGTCTGTATCAGAACCCCGAATTCCAATTTATGTTGTTGGCTACATCAGAAGCTCAAAGTTGGAGCCATCAGAATCAGAACCCTGTACCCAAAGCTCACTGTACCTCAGGACTCCAAGACCCCTCCCTCCCAACAGATCCCACACAGGAGGTAACGAATGAAGCTGAGGGCCATGTGGCCTGGCTCTCCCGCCATCTGTCTCCTGCCCACCCTATCCTGAGCCTCCTACACTATTTAGGACAAAATCAAGGCAAAAAAAATCAAGAAAACATTCTCTGTGCAACAGCCCAGAGATGGTGAAGCGCTGATCTTACAGAGATCAGCATGGTGCTACAGGGCTGTGAGCCAGATCTGAGCACGGCTGCACCCACCAGCGCACTGCCCGCTCCCCTTCCTTGCCTTAGTCTCCTAGTTTGCTACAGCTGAGTCCCATAAAGTCTAGAGTTCTCGGTGCTCTTCCTCTGGACAGAAATGACTCTACAATCTCCCAAAGCATAGGGAAGGCCTGAACTCCTGGCTCCGTGCTCTTTATGGTAGGTTAAATGGTTTTCCATGACATACTTTTCCTATAGGTGCATTTGACAGATGCCGAGGTGGGGGTGAATTTGGAAGGCTTTATTTGGCTAGAAGCTGCCCTTGCCAGGCTTACGCCTATAATCCTCACTACCGTGGAGGCTGAGCTCTGAGGAGCCCCACTTAAAGACTACTTAGTTAACCACCAAAAAGCTGGAAGGGGAGCTGTGGCTCAAGTGGTAGAGCAGGAGCCTTGAGCCAAAACAGCTCAGGGACAGCTCCCCAGGTCCTTGAGTTCAAGCCTCAGGACTGGCACCAAAACAGAGAAGTTGCCTCTTGAGTTTAGTCTGTACTGAACATGTTAACAAGGTGAGCCACTGAAGAAGAAGATTAGGTCCCCGGTGCAAGCATCTGGAAACCTTCGGTCCATTTGCTTTCACTGACAAGCTATGCTGATAGCCAGCCCCAGGAGAGCTAGGTGGGAAGGGGAGATGTGTGGGCACTGATGTCACAATCCAGGGTCTCCATGGTCACTGAGAAAGCCCTTGGAACTTTGCAGCCCCTGTGCTTAGTCCTCGTGGCTTGTGCAGGAGGGACTTGGACCAGAGCCTGTAAATAATGGCTGACCCGGCTTCTGCCCACCTGAAAGGCTGACCAAGGTGATCCGATGAGATCATGTGTGTGGAAACTCAAAGCTGCACAAATCTAAAAGCAGTGAGCGTGTACATGAGTTGAGGGTCAGCCTTCCACGCTGGTAGTCATGAGTGTTTGAGCCCAAGGCAGGGTCTGCCTGTCTATCAGGGGATGAGCTGGGCAGCAAGAGCGGGGCCGTGTGTGATGGTGGACTCTGCCTTTCTCAGGGATGAAGCTTTCCTCAACATCGTTAGGAGCTCAAATTGTCCCAGACAAATCGTTGGTTGACTGTGGTCAAACCACAGATCGGACCCTAACAGCACCCTTGGTGCATGGTGGTCTCCATCTGGAACCTCCTAGCTTTGTAGCTAGCAAATGGAGCAACTGAGCCCTGAGCACACCAAAGGAGGGATGGAGAGAGGAGGGGCTAGCCCTAGATTGCTCCCTGGTGCCTCAGAGAGTTGTTATGAGGATTAGGGAATGGAGCGCTTAGCATAAGCACTTGGTAAGTGATCACTAAATACTTTGCACACAAGCCCACAGCACTTATGAATATCACTCAAGATGATGATGATGATGGTGGTGAGGATTCTTCCTCCTGTCTTGGTGCCAGTGTTGACACTCATGGCAGTGCTAGAACTTGAACTCAGGACCTCACACTCTTCCCTGATTTGGTGCTCTATCACTTGAGCCTTGCCTCCACTTCGGGCTTTTTGCTGACTCAGTGGGGATGAGTGTCTCAGATTCGGCTTCCCAGGCTGGCTTTGAACTGTCATCCTCAGATCTCAGCCTCCTGAGTAGTTAGGATGACAGGTGTCAGCTCCCAGCTCCCAGCTCCCAGCTACTTTATGCTTCTTACTGCTTATGAGAACAAAGCAAGCAACAGAGGTGGCCCGAGAGAAAACATGTGCATGTCACAGAAAAACCAAACGCCTGGTGACGGGGTTTGCAGGACGTCGTGCTGAGTGATAGGCCCACAACAGCTCCAACACGTTCAGTCCAAGTACCCAGCTTCTTACACGGCGCCCAGGAGCCGTGGCACTGCGCACGGACTTCCTGAGTGGCACACGCCAGTGGTGGGTGCCACTGGCATTGGGGATTGAGAGGCCAAGGAGGCATTTTCCGCATCCAACCGTCTGCCGTGCCAGCGTGGAGAAGTCGTCTGAAAGATCCAACAATTTTGTTTGGGTCACATCGGTAGGCACGTCCTGCCATTTGCCAGGGCTGGTGTTTTGGTTGAACACAGATAACGCGCGAGAACACAGTGCTCCATCATTAATGGAACGTCAGGTTCCGGTCATTCCGTGTGTAGACTTTAGCTCATCAGATAACAGTCCTGACTCATATGTTTTCCAGCAATGGGATAATTACAGAATTTTATAAATTGGTGCCATTGGTTTGTGTGCGTGTGTGTCCAGCTTCTATCTGAGCTGGGCCAAATTAATTTTCTAAAAAGCATTAACCACAACAGACAGACTCATGTGGAATCATCCAGTGAGATTTTTTTGGTTCTAGATTCTCAAAGGATCTAAGTTTAAAATACCCAAGGTCAGATCATCTCTTAGAAAACGCAGCTGATGTTGTTTTTTCCTTTCAGACCCAACATTTTTTTTTTTTGTCGGTTGTGGGGCTTGAACTCTGGAAGAGCTGTCCCTCAGCTCTTCAGCTCAAGGCAAGCGCTCTACCACTTGAGCCACAGCACCACTTCCGGGTTTCTCTTGGTTCATTGGAGATCAGAGTCTCATGGACTTTCCTGCCTGGGCTGGCTTTGAACCATGATCCTCAGATCTCAGCCTCCTGAGTAGCTAGGATGACAGGCAGGAGCCACCAGCACCTGGCTCAACTTATTTTTCTTTTTAAAAGAAAACTTGTTCCCTGTAGGAATTTTGCTGGACAACACCACACTGAAGTTCCACGACATGGTCCCGGGCAGCATCATCTCGCTGGGCATCTGGAATCACGACGGCTGGGCAGAGCTGTTCCTGGCGGCGGCAGAGGGAGACCCCAGCAAGGTGCTTTCATGATTGGCTGGGGGGGGGGAGGCACGGTTTCGCGTGGATGTCTCACGGGTGGGGGGCAGGGAGATGAGGCCCTCAGCATGGCCTCCCACCCACACTGGGAGCGTCTGCGCCACCCCCTCCCGCCTTGTGCTGAGGGGAGAGGGACCCCACCCCTGAAGGAGTCCTGCTCAGGGCATTTTCTCCCCTTGATAAAGTTGACAAGCAGCCGAGATGTCAGCCCAGGGCTCTGGTGTGAAAATACAGGCAAGGCCCTGCTGGGCGGGAGGGAAGCTGGGTAAATACGGGGCGTTGACCCAGCGGGAGTGAACCTGCTGGCAGCACAGGGACCTGGGGGGGGGGCGGGAGCTCTGAGCTCCCCAGGAAGTGGAGAAGGGTCTGAGGGCCAGGCAGGGTCAGGACCCCAGCAGCCGACCCGTTCCCCCCACCCTGTGCCCTCAGACCTTGGCAGGGAGGGGGCGCCCATCCCCCAACTCTTCCACTCCCTCCCAGGTCCTTCCTGGCTTTTCCCCTTCTTGAAGGTACAGAGACGACAGCCGTCACACCATCCCCCCGCCCCTGCCCCTTCTGCTCCCCCGGCCAGCTCCACCCCTGACCCTGGACCCCGGGACAGAATGCCTCCTTGTGGGGTGCTGGGATGGCTGTTCCCATCCCCACAGCTCTGGGACCTGTCTGAGAGCTGACTGAGGGCTCCCAGAGCCAGTGGGGACACTGGGAGGAAAAGAGAGCGGAGGCCTGGAGCCTGCGCCCCACCGTGGCCCTCCCCTTGCTCCTTGGCCAGGCCGTGCTGGGGGGACATTGGCGGGGACCCCCCCGCCCGCCCCAGCTAACCGCGGGCAGGGACAATGTCCCACGCCGCCTCCACTGTGCCCTGGCTTGGGTGAAGCAGCCTGCCCGGCCCGGGACAACCGAGACTAACCCGACGCTGCCCCCCCCCCCGCGCTCTTCCCCCCCCCCCAGCTGTCCTCCCTGGGCGTCAGCGAGGACTCCTCCTTCCGCACCGCGCACGCGCAGGCCCTGCGGGGCGAGCAGTGGACGCAGTGGGTCTCCCAGCGGGCCTTCGTGGCCCTCTACATCACCTCCCACAGGGGCCACGTGGAGGCCGTGCAGTACCTTCTAGAACACGGTAACCGCGCTGCCTGAATGCCCAGGGGTTCACCTTAGAAAGGCGGAGGGCCCCAAGTCTCGACACTCTCCTCACACGGACCCCAGAGCCCCGTCACACGCTAGGCCTTCCCAGGGCCAGTTTTCTAGAAGATTCTGTGGCTCACAGGACAGTCACATGTCAGGAAGCGCGTTCTGCCTCTGTGGGAATGCGGGCTAGCCCAGGGCGGCAAAGGCCCGGTGGTCAGCAGGCTAGCCCAGCTCCTTTCTCTTCGCCTTCTAAGGTTTCCTCACTCCAGATGTTCTGTTCACCCCACCTCTGCTCCAGGGCCGCTGTGCTCTCCGTGTGTCTGTCCATAAACAGAGGCTTTGGCCAGTATTGTCCCTGAGTCAAGGCCTTTGCTGTGTCCCGAACCCACCCACTCACGGAGGTGTAAGGCTCCTAATGAGCAGGCCTCGGCTGCAGGCGGACACCTCCGCCCTCCTCTCAGCACGGGGTGCTGGTGTCTGGGGTCGCTCACACGAGGGCCCCTTCCTTCCACCCTTTCCCAGCTCCTTCCTTGCCACCTGCCTGCTTCCTCTGGGCGGTGAGGAGAAACCTCCAAGCTTGGGGGGGGTTGACGGGGGGGGGGCTCCTCTGTGGCCTGTCTGCCTCTTGCTCGGTGGTGATTCGAAAGAGGGCCTTGACCAGCCCGGTGGCCTTTTGAGTCATCCTCAGCCGCCCTTGCCTGATGTAACTGATGTCATCGGAGGTTAGGAAATGACACCGGCTTCGCGCCAGTTTGTGTCCTGTGCCGGGCGGAGGCCGGCGTAGCTCGCACACCAGCCGTAGCTCTTCCAGGCCGGTGACAGAAAGGCCCATGGAATTTAATTGAATTGCCTTCAATTCCGCAAGTCCACTTTCAAGGCCTGGCACTGGCTTGTGCGTCTGCAGGAGGCCAAGAGCAGCCAGGGCCTTGCGCCAGTCGAGCCGGGCACTGGGGAGCAACAGCAGCTGCCCTTGGGGAGCTGAGGAGGGGAAGCCAGGACCTTAGACAAATAATTGTCATGAACAGAATACTCTGGAAGACACAGGGTTGCTATGGAGCTCATACAGGGAGGAGTGAAGGAAGGGGTTCTTGAGGAAATGGTTCTGAAATCCACAGACAGGTGTGAGCTCTGGGGGTGAGGATGTTGTTTGCAAGATGAGCGGCATGTGCAAAGGGCCTGCAGCAGGATGCAGAACGCAGTTCTGCAGACGAGAGAAGGCAGGTATAATTGGAGCCTTGGCTGGGTTTGATGGGAAGCGTATGAGTAGTTCTTCAGTAATACAGACGGAGTGGGGTGCAATAGAGCCACAGAGCTGTACACCCCCCCCCACCCCTGGGGTGATGGGATGGGGTTTGTGGAGGCTGAGATGGGTGTGTGGAAAGGTCACTGGCCGGAGGCCAGGACTGGTGGGGTTGGGCGGGGGGGAGGTGGCAAGGCCCTTGGGGACGGTCACCCCCTCTCCCCAGCTCTGCGCCCCCCTGACCTCGGGGTCCTGGCCCCGGGGCGGAGGCCTGCTCAGCCGGCTCTCCTCTGTCCGTCACAGGAGCCAGCTGTGTCAGCAAGACCCCGGTGGGCAGGACGCCCCTGCATGCGGCGGCCGCCATGGGCCGCACGGACTGCGTCACCCAACTTGTGCGGCACGGGGCGTCTATCCACGAGAGGGACGCGCACGGGGAGTCGCCCATCGGCATGGCGCGCCGGCTGCACCGCAAGCAGAGCGAGCGCAGGATGTTCCTACTCTACTGGACGGCCAAGAGCAGCGCCAAGGACAACGCCGGCCTGGGCCCCGGCGACCTGCTGCCGGACCCCAAGGCCCACTGAGCCGGCCACCACGCAGGGCAGGCCGGGCCCAGGCCTGGAGTGGACCAGGCTGCCCTGCTTGCAGAGGGGCTTGGGGGGCGCGGGGGCATGTCCCGTGAGTGACCCCTTACACTCCTGCCGGGACCACACCGGCCTTTTGTCGCAAGCTATTTGCACACAGCACGCCGTCGCCCCGGAGGGAGCCAGTGGCCTCACCCCCCCCCCTCCTGGGGAGACCGTGGAATGCCCTGGACTCCCGGGACAAGCAGGGGGACTGTGACGCGGGCGTCCAGAGACCACGTGGGCTGTGGAACACGCCGGATCCTAGGCTCCCGCTATGCGGACATTTAGAAGCTACGTCAGATCGTCTGGAGGGCTGGGGAGCAGAAGGGAGGCGAGGGGGGCTGTGCCTTCCCAAACACGGTCACCACGTGGGATGTCTCAGTGCCCTGGTGGTGCGGCGCCGCGTGACCCGAGATGTGACCCGAGGCCCTGGCAGCACCTGTCCTCCAACCCCTTCCCTTCTTCCCCGGGGACCAGGCTGCCCCAGCATAGACTAGGAGGAAGGTAAAGATCGGCCACAGTCTAAAAAGGGCACTGGGACCCAGCTGCAGCAAAACACCAGCCAGAGGTTTAGTCTGGAACCTTCTAGAACATTCCATAGTTTTCTGATTGGGTGCCTCCTTGTTTTTTAATGTCAGCTTGATGTTTGGAATGCTTGCGCTTGGAAGGATATTCCTCAGAAAACAGACTCCGCTGAGGGGTGTAAAAAGATAGGAATTAGGTCCCCCCCTAGAAAACTGTCCACCTGGGCTGCTCTGGGTGACTGCAGAGGTCACCCCGGGGCGTGCAAGGTGGGGAACAAGGGGCCAGCTTCCACCAGACACACACAGGGTGTGCTCACAGGTGAGGCGACCTGAGGCGCCCCATGTGTCTGCTGATGCCTAATTGATGTCACCAAGAAAGTGCTAGAAAGACCCTAAGTCTCCACAGCGCTGAGAACACAGAAAACAACCACAGGGCTTTTCTGTTCCCCAAAGCCTGGCACCCCAACACTACTTCTGGGCAAAGGCTCCCGCATGCAAGCTGGCTTTCGCGTGGTGAATGGCTCGGCTGCCGGCGGCTTTCCTCCTGACCACTGGCTCTGGCTTTCAAACAGCTGACCCTGACCGGTGGCGAACACCCCGCGTGGCCTCACAGTGGCCTGCGTGGCCAGGCTGGGGCCAGGCATCTAGTTGACAGATGATAGTCAGGGAAAAATCGGTCCCCACCAGCAGCGTCCAAATGGAGACCTTGTTTGGCAGACGCCTTCCAAAGTCAATAGGCAGATATTAAATGACTCAGCGGGGGGCAGTTCATTAGCTAATGAGCTGCGGGGGGGGCACACTTTTAAATAAGTGAAGTCCCTCCAAGCCCGATGCGGGCCAGAGTTCTGCTAAGCTGTCTTGAGCCACCTACCTGGCACTCAGACCCACGGCTTGGGGTTTTGGGACCGAGCCCTCTGTTTTGCTGTGCCCCAATTCAATTAGACACTTGGCCACACATCCGGCAAGTTCTAAACTCTCCTGGGGACCTTTGCTAAAGACAATCTAAGCACTTGCATTAGGGACAAGGGCAGGGGACAGAGATCAACCACCACGTGCTGTCTGCATGCCCAAGGCCCTGGGCTCCAGCCTGAGCACACACACACACGCACACACCATGCACACATAATTCATTAACACATGCATGCGCGCACACGTGTGTACACACACGCACATGTACCCCGATTACAATAAAACTGTGTCATGTACAAGTCGCTCATAACCAGGCTGACTTGAGTTATCGATGACATGTTCGTTTTGTAGCTGCTCCATACTTGGGGATTCACAGAATGAAAGAAACTGGTGGAGATGGACCTTATTTTTGTGGGGGTCATGGGGTGGCCCGGGGGCCCCCTCTGTGTGGAGGGGATGCACATCGCCGGGGGCTTTGTGCGCACGGGTGGGCCCTCAGGTCCCCGGGGCACGAGCTACTCCTGACGGTGGACCTGGGGGAGGGGCACGTCTGCATGGACCTCAGAGGTGCCGGGCCAAGGGCGCGCCAAGCCGGGGCCTCCTGCAGAGGAGGGAGGGGGCTGCTCACGTCGGGTGCAGCAGGAATGAAAAGGGCTGGGATGCACTGGGGCTTTAGAGGGGGCCTGGCCGACTCCCCCCGCCTGGCGCAGTAGACCAGGCTCCCGGGCCTCCGGCCTGTGGTGCGGCTGACCAGACGCGAGCGCTGCTCTGGGCGCCATCTGTTGGCCGCTCTGGGCGCGGCATCGGGGTCTCTGGCTGCACTGCGTGTCTTTGCAGTGACTGCGGCCTCCCCCACCTCAATCCAGGGGTCCAGAAGGGCAGCGCCCCCTCCTCCCCCGCTGACCTGGGGCCCTGTGGCCCGGCCCTCTCCTTCCCAGCCTCCCTGGCCGATGGGAGCCATCCGTGGGACCTGTGTCCTGGAGACCCCAGGGCACACCAGGAAGGGCCTGAGCTTCCAGCCCGGCAGGTCTGGCCTTAGAAATTTCCTGTCGCCAGTTCCCCGGGCCAAGCAATGGCTCTTCTCTGGGCCTCAGTTTCCTCGTGTGAAATAGTTGGGTATGAAAACCTGCTCCCCCCGTGGGGACTGGTGTGCCGCCGCCTGGGAAATATTGGCTATGATTCTTATGCTTATTCCCACCACGGAATTGGCTGGCCACGCTCGCTCCCTGAGAAGCAAGTGCCCTCTTTCAGAGGAGAAGCTCATAAACAAATGCTCCGAGAAACCCTACACAATAAGAGTCTCCTTCCAGAATTAATAATTCCCCAAGTGGGGGCTCAGTCATTGCCTTTCTGCTCTCGGGGTTGGGAATTAAGGAGAAGAACTCCCCAGCTACTTGCAGAGGGAAAGAAAGAAAAAGAGAGAAAGAAAAGAAAAGAGAGAGAGGAAGGAAGGAAGGAAGGAAGGAAGGAAAGAGGGAGGGAAGGAAAGAAAGAGAGAGATGGAGGGAGGGAAGGAAAGAGAGAAAGGAAAGAAAGGGGGAGGGAGGGAAGGAAAGAAAGAAAGAAAGAAAAGAGGAAGGAAGGAAGGAAGGGTATGTTGGGAACTGGAGCCAGCTCTGCGGCAGAGGACAGGGAGAGGAAAATTCCAGCCGCCAGCGGCCTGGGCGGTGCGGGGCGGGGCGGAAGCTCAGCACACAGAAGGCCGTTAACATTTAGACAGACGCTGTGTTTGTGTCGCTGCAAATGTCACCGATGCTGCTGTCACCAGGCACGTGGAAGCAAGGCTGGGCCCCAGGGGACCCGGGGCTGGCCTTTCCGCCTGGACCCCCAGAACAGCCTGCAGCTAGGCAGAATGTTGGGGTACACACATGTCACCCTCATGGCACTCAAAGGGCTGCGCCCCTTCCTCAGCCCCAGGTTCCAGCATCCAGACCCTGAATAAGCAGCTCCGACTCCAGCCCCGGAGCAAGTCCGTGGGTGTCCAAGTGCCGTGGCCTATGTGGTCTGTGCACAACCTCAGTTTACCACGGGGAAGATGGTAAGCAGCAATGGCCTCTGGGCTGTGTGGGGGCCAGGGGAGGGTCTGGGGACGTGGGGACACCCCGCCAGGCTGCAGCCCACAGACAGAAGAGGACCTGGCCAGCCCACAAGGGCCGGGGGGCACCATTTGCCGCTGTTCAGCACTGACTTAGCTGGGCATGGGGGGTTCACACGCAGAACTCCAGCTCCTCCCCAGGCAGAGGTCAGGATTGCTGCTAGAGGCCTGCCTGGAAACGCTTCGAGACCCCGTGTCAACAGACCAGAACGGGGGTGGGGGTGCGATGTGCCTGTCACCGCAGCTGTACATCTCAGGCTCACGTGAAAAGTAATAAAGCAAAAAAAAGCTGGTGTTTGGCTTAAGTGTTCAAGCACCCGCTTGACAAAGGTCCTGAGTTCAAACTCCGTTAGAGAAATGACTTGGGGCAGGGATGTTGCTTGGTGGTAGAGTGCCTGCCTAGTGTGCATGAGGCCCTGGGTTCGACTCCTTGATAGCACATACACAGAAAATCAATAAAATAAAAAGGAAAAGTAACCATTAAAAAGGATCTTAAGGGGCTGGGAAGGTGGCTCAGTGGTAGAGCACTTGCCTTGCATGCATGAGGCCCTGGGTTCGATTCCTCAGCACCACATATGCAAAAAGAAAAAAGCCAGAAGTGGTGCTGTGGCTCAAGTGATAGAGCACTACCCTTGAGCTGAAGAGCTGAGGGACAGCGCCCAGGCCCAGAGTTCAGGCCCCACGACTGGACCCCCCCCCAAAATGATCTTAAGCCAGGCACTGGTGGCTCACACCTGTCATCCTAGCTTCCCAGGAGGCTGAGATCTGCCAGCCCAGGAAGAAAAGTCCCCGTGAGACTATGATCTCCAATTAACTACTCAAAAACTGGAAGTGGCGCTGTGGCTCAAAGTGGTAGAGCGCTAATCTTGAGCAAAAGAGCTCAGTGACAGTGCCCAGACCCTGAGTTCAAGCCCTGCAACCACCACCACCAACAAAAAAGAAATGACTTGATCTGCAGGTATCAGCTAGAGGCTACCACGGGGTGTCAGAGCTGTGTCACGAAGCAGCAGCAAACTGCCCAGGAGGTGGGGGTGCTCACAGAGTCACTGTACAAGGAACCTCTGTTTATTTGAATATAAAGGCTGATATCAAAGGCCCCAAAACACAGCTGACCCTGCTTTAGAGACGCATGTTGATTTATACACCTGAAAACATGGCAAAACTAGCTGCCCTCTTTTTCTAGTGTCAAAATACATATGAAAGCTGGGCACAGGTGGGTCATGCCAGTAATTCTAGCTATTAGGAGGCTGGGGTGTGGAGGATCACAGTTCTAAGTTAACCTGGGCAGAAAACTTCCATGAGATGGTATGTCCAATTAAGCAATAAAAAGCCAGACTGGAGGATGGTCTAGTGGGAGAGCACCAGCCACCAGTGAGCTGAGTGAGCGCAAGGTCCCGAGTTCAAACCTCAGTACCAGCACAACTCCCCAA